TTGTCACTGACCCCAGCTTACCTTTCCTTGGAGAGTCTGGAGAACAAGTAAAGGGTCCTGCAGTAGAAGCAAAGAATGACCCAGAGCCTTGTGGAGAAAGAGGTCCTAAGAATAGACTGCTCAGTTGACTTGACTTATCTCTGTCTACTCTAGGCCTGTGGCTTACCTAATTAATTAAGATTTAAGAAAGAGCTTTTTCAGCTTTGAAACACTCAGACCTTTTAAAGTGTCTGAAGTGTTTGTGGCAACACTCAGAAGGAATGTATCTGTATGCATGGAGAGCAGTTTGATATAAAGGTTAAGAGAATGGTATTTACATTGAGACTAAATGGTTTGGAATCCGGGCCCCGCCACTTACTAGCTCTGTGAACTTGGGAAAGTTACTTAAATGAGCTGTGCTTCAGTATTCTCATCTGTAAAATGGGAATAAAACTAGGAGTTCGGGAAGGATTAAATTAGTATACATGCAAAGTACTTAGGAAGTTGCCTAGCATATAATAAATTCTCAATAAATATTAGTCATCCTTGTTAGTAGTCATTATAAGTAGCAGTAATTGTTCGTTTCTCTTAAATCAATCACGTCACCCATTCACCCCTACAACCTTCCCCATACCCCCTAACCATAGGCACAGTTTATGAATTTAAAATCCTTTATCTAAAGTAGAACTTTCTGTAATGATGGAAAGTGTTCTGTATCTGTGTTCTCCAGTTGGGTAGCCACCAGCAACACGTGGCTCATTGTAGCTGTGTTGGACTGTGCAGGCCTAAAGCATAGCCTTTCCTCAGGCTTGATTGTATATATCACATTTTACCAGCACTCTTTAATTCTATGAACAGTTTTTCTCCTTAAGAGATGTGTATTCTTATACTACATTTGTAATCTCTTTGAACCCAGAACTGGTAAACATTGTCTTGCCTTGCCTCATAAAATATTGATAATTTGTTTTAAAAGATGTTACAGGAAACACAGAGTTTGCATGAAAGAGCGAACCCAAACTAGTCTTATCATGTTAACCATTGTGTTTTGTTTCCAAATCACGTTTGATGTATTTGATTTACCTTGCTGGGACTTGGATGACTTCTTTTCATATCTTCTGCTGTCAGTTACAATTTTATTTCCATTGTTCTTTCTTGAGCGAGTTATTCTGCAAGGAATACTCTAACCATATACTAGTAGTGAAATATGTCCACCAGTTCAGTTCTGTTTTCATAAACTGCCATGTAGATAGCACTACCATCAGATAGATGTCTGTGACTAATTGATCTGGCATTAACTTCATATTAATTTGCTTTAAGAATAATAATAATACCAGGCACTGCCCTAAATGCATTACATGATTTAACTCACTTAAGCTTCACAACCACTTTATGAGGCAGGTTCTGTTGTTATTCCATTTAATAGATATGAAAACTGAGGCAGGAAACTGGCCTGAGATTCATGGCAGGGCTGAGATCTGACTCCAGGCAGGCTGGCTTCAGAGCTGTGGTTTAACTATAGTTCCTTAAGTTAGACCTTTGGTGCTAATTGTGTTTTGGAATTCAGAATTTTTCAAATTTTAGAACAGGAAGATGATGTATATACCTTTATAATACCTCTACCTCTGGTGGAGTCTAGAGCAGCACCTTCTAATCAAACTTAACTACTCTTCCTACAGCAACACATGGGAATACTCACACTAAGCAGATTAAACAAAGACTATTCAGAGCCTTGTTTCAGGTCAAGTTTTGTGGCCAAATGAGTTTTGAAAATAATGGGTTTTCAGAACTCTGAGGATTTTGGAATTTCAGAGAAGGGATTGAGAATCTTCTGTATATAGTCCCTCACAGAGGTCTTCATCAAATGGAGTGAGTTTTGGTGAGATGCCGGAAAGGAGAGTTGCATTGAATTCGTATTTCTCACTTTCAACAAGTTTTTCAGCATAAGCCAGATTTCTGTTGCTTCAAAATTTGGTCAACATAGATAGCTCAGAGGTGCAGTCTGGAGGGCCTTAGTAGCCACGCTTGGTGTAAGGCCTGCAATTTCACTGGAATGCCTTCGTGTCGAGCCTTGAAATCTGCTCTCATTTGTGTTAGTGAGGCCCGTAGCTAAGGGCCTGGAGGTTGCTATGGTAACATTTCACTCATAGGATAAATGAGAACTGCATTTTGCCTCCTCTTATTTTTACCTATGTTTGGTAGCAGTTCTTTTTAAGTGGCATCCAGGTGTCTAGCCTCTCTCTATACTCATCCCTGGGTCCCTCACATTCTGTCCTTTGTGATCTCTGTTAAGCTTATTAAAGGGATGGGCAAGAGAATCAACATTGAACACCTACTATGTGCCCGGCACTGTGCTAGGTGCTTTGAGTGTATTATTTAACATGCAAAACAGCCTTTGAGATAAGTATTCTCATCCCTAATTTCATGTGAGCGAACTAGGCCTGAGAGAGGCCAAGTAACTCTCCTCAAACTCAGGTTTCTCTGTTTTAATTATAAAACATGTATAGATTGGTTTTCTCTCAGGTCTGCAAACCCAGTTTTGTCTCTCCGTTTCCCTTATGCTTTATATTGTAGTGTTGGTTTCTGTTTTGTCACCCTTCCAGGGATAGGTGATCTATAGACAGCCTACCTATGGCTTGTCGTGAGACCCCAAATCCTAACCATGCTGTTATGCCTTCTCCCAGGGTCCTATCCTTCCCCCAAAGCTGGAGCCACTCTGGTCGTGTACAAGGACCTGCTGGTGCTGTTTGGTGGCTGGACGAGGCCAAGCCCTTATCCCCTACACCAACCAGAGAGATTCTTTGATGAAATACACACGTACTCACCCTCTAAAAACTGGTAAGCCACAAAGATAAGATGTTTTCAACCCAGAATAAAAGATTTTAAATGAATGGATTCCTTATCTTCCTTTTGTGTCCAGAAATCTTGAGAACTTGATGAAAGCTGTAGACTCTTTTCCCAGAAAAAAAAATTTTACATATACACAGATTTTGCCTACAGTTTCAGAGGGTTTCCAGGACCCTGTTAAAACCTGAAGAACCTTTATTCCAAAGAGAAAAAGTGGAAGGGATTTATTCCTCTCCCGAGAAAAGTGAATGAGCCAGGTGAAGATCAGGGGGCCCTTCAGCTTTGGCTGCTGACTCCCCGGGCGTGCTGCCATCCTGATGGTTCCGTACTCCCTGCTCTGTCCCCAAGACCGACTCCCAGTTGTTTTTCAAACATGTCTTTTTTAAATGACCGAAACCCCTGTTCCTTGTTATGGACTACTTGGTACAGGGCTCTTGGCAGCTGCTGCTCATCAGGACTGTAACAGAAGTAGCCAGTGGTGCTCCTTCAGCAATTAGGCGGAAGCAGCAAAGAAGCCGTGATGGAGTCCCTGGTCATTGTCTTCTAATCTCGCCACTCTGCCTCCAAGGCAGCGTGCAGATGGACAACTTGAAAACGAATGCACCTGTAGCAGTTTTGTGGGAAAGGCATAAACACCTTATGCCATCCTCCATTTACTATTCTCATAGTATCTCTGCTGAGGGTGACAGGATTGTCATTTTAATGGATGCCTACTTACTGTTTTCCACCTTAAATACATACGACCAGAAGCAGATGGTGCTGACTTCTTGACTTCCTCCTGTCTTTTTNGTCCTCCACAACTAGACTGAAGAACAAAAACGACAGCAACTTGTCTGTTCCCCTTCCCCTAATTCCCCAGTACTGTTCCCATCCCCCCAATTATCCAATAAAAAAAAAAATCTTTAAAAAAAAAAAAAAGAGTACGAGCTCTGAGCAACAGGGCCACCAGTTCAATTCCCATATGGGCCAGTGACTCTGCACCCGAGCTGAGCTGCCGTTAAGCTGCCAACAGGTGGCAGGATGGCTTAGCTGGTATAACAAGACTGCCTGTTCAATGGTGGGTTACGCCCGCCCGCAACTAAGACTGAATTGGGCACCTTGAGCTGAGCTGCCGCCCGGATGGCTCAGTGGATAGAGCGTGTGCTCTTAACAACAAGGCTGCCAGTTTGACTCCGCATGGGATGGTAGCTATGCCCACCCGCAACTAAGACTGAACACAGCACCTTGAGCTTAGAGGCCACGAGCTGCCAACAGGAAGCCAGATGGTGACTGGCGCCCTCCACAACGAAGATTGAAGAACAGTAACTTGGCTGGTCCCCTTCCTCAATTCCCTAACACTGTTCCCCTTACCCAACTCTCCAGTTAAAATAAATAAATAAATAAATAAATAAATAAATAAATAAATAAATAAATAAGTAAATGCTACTGTCTAGTAGAGAGGTTGGCAACCTTTTAAAAAAAAAAAGTTTGATATGGGCACATTTTGTCCTGTGGTGTTTGGTGAGAAACTGCATGGGAGGGACACCCTTTCTTCCTCCACTTTTCCCAGTGGCCTCATCATTTTGAAGGCGGGCCAAGAAATGTCCTAATAAGTGTAAAACCTTCATTTATAAGTTTTCTTGAAGAAAGGGTATTTATTTCATATGTCACCATGATGGTGATGGATGGGCCTTTTAACAATGGAGATTCTACTGATGTCAGAGTACCCTATATTGTACAACATTTCCAATGACTCAGTCTCTAATGTGGTAGGTGGGTGTGTTTTAATAAAAATTTGTTAAACAACGATGTCATATCATTCGAGATAGCCTGTGAACGAACTGCATGCACATAGGTGCAATTCTTCAAACTTGAGGACCTGACATGTTATCTAGGGCCATTCCATATCTAAATTAGTTGTTTACCTTGCCTAGTAATATATGGTGATGTTTTGTGGTTTTTTTTAAAGAAAGTTTATAGGTACTGGGAGATTATAAGTAAAAAACATTTAAATAGCTTACTTTTCTTAGGACTTTAAAACAATGAATAAAGGTATGTAATTTTAACACGAGTTTTCTTGTTTTTTTCTCAAAATTCTAGTAAAGATTTATTGTTTGTTTTTTGGAACTCCACTTGGCTAAAGAGACTATTTACGATATAAAAATTGCCACGGTTCATTGTCCTCTGCGGTATCTGAGCTCACCATAAATGTAATTCATTTGCTTTGTGGATCTTGCATTAAGATAATTAGAAGGAGAGTTAAAGATTCTCTGCTTTAAAGAAATTCAAAATATAAAATATGTAGATTTTTGAAAGTGATAAAAGTAGGGACTCTTTATGAAGGCTTCATGATATTGATTTAAAGTAACAAGAATATAAAAGTATCTGATTTGCAACAAATAATGCAAACATTATATGCATAATTGGGTCATAGAAAATTTGGTACACCTGTGTCTTTGCCCTCTTTTGCTGAATTAGCTGTATAGAGACTGTATGTTGAATTCTGCGCCCTCTCTCCCTCCTGCTTCATTTGTTCTTGTATGGTAACTTTTTCTTACATTTCTTACAAATGGAGGTGGAGAAGCACGATTAACTATTTAAGTTTTAGTGTGTGATCCTACTTAGTTGTGGAGATATTTAAGTAAAGATGCTGAAGTTAAAGCTTCTATTTGTGACATAAAACCGACCTTGGAAATGCTGGATGAGGGAGTTCCCCCACTCTCTGGGATAAGTAGGAGAGATTTTGGCTTTCTAAAATACAAAGGTATTTGGGAAGTCATTTTGGAAAGCACTTACCTAAAATAACTCGTAAAGGGGCCGGCCAAATGGCTCTGTTGGTTAAGAGCATGAGCTCTGAGCAATAGGGTCACCAGTTCGATTCCCACATGGGCCAGTGACGCTGCGCCCAAGCTGAGCTGCTGCTGAGCTGCCAACAGGTGGCAGGATGGCTCAGCTGG